TGTATGCTCATATGCCAGATATACTAAATAATGTATTTTACCACTTTGGCTAGTTCGTCAGCTGCATTAATGATGATGTTTGCACTGGTAACCTCTAGATTAAATTTTGGAAGTGGTTGAAAATACTGGTATGCCTGACAGAATTTTGATCAGAGCTGTCTGTACAGAACATACACTGCTAATTCTATAACTGTTTAACTAATTGGTTGGTTTCCAGGTCTATTCATTGGGATTATATTGTCTCTTTCCTATAAATTGAGAGATTTTGACTCATTTTATCTCTACAATAGTAATCCTAGAGAACAGGTTGAATTAAGAGAAAGGGACTGGAGTAAAATCACTCAAGTCAATTTCCATAGCTTAAAGTAGACTTTAATTTTGGTCTCATCAATCCTAATTTTGATTAATTTTAATTTTACTATTCTAAATAATACGACTCCCAAATGCTTGGGATTTGCACCTATGTAGACCATAAGATTTCTGTGGAATTCTTGATCTGGTGGTTTGTTTCCCTGATGGTACTCAGGCACAGGAATTCTTCCCTTTGCTTTTTGCAGAATTTGGCTTTCAAAAGCAAATTAAGGCCACGCTTTTTCCAGAAGTCTTGGACTGGTCTTTCATGACAACTTTTGGATTCTTTTAACTGTTGTGTTTGCATTTTAAAAATATTTTTCTTTACATAATATTTAGCTTTCTGATGAATTGTTGATCTGTTTTAGACGTTGTGTTGAAATGCATTCCATAAAAGTTTTCAATGAAACGGAGACTAAACTTGTATATTCATTATTTAGATCAGTGATATTATTTTGTCTTTTATTTCAGCTTTAATTAAAGAAATAAAAATCAATGATAAAAAGAAACAGCTAATGGAAAAAATAACATTATATGATGAAAATAAGATAAACAGTTATGACCTCTTTGAATCTTCAATATAAATATATTTCTATCGGACTTCAGAAGATGGAGCATTTCTTCCCCAGCAAAATGCATTTTTAAAATACTGTTATACTTCTATATACAAGAAAACTACAATGATGTTACATAATGAGAAAGCATTCTTTTTCAAATCCATTTGTATATGAATTTCTCTTATTTTCCTATTCTGGTTAAAATTATTTTTTTGGATCTAGCCAAAATATTCTTCAGTTGCAACTGATTACTAGTTGGTATATTCTCTGAAAACAAATGTATTTTTCTTATTTTGTACAGGTATTGAATTAGATAATTACTATGTCTCCTTACAATTTGCCTATGATTTGAAAGATAATGACTCAAAACCTGGGATATGTATGTATGTATGTATGTATGTATGTATGCATATTTTTTGCTCCTTACAAACTTAGTGCTTGAATAAAAACATTATGAGCAGATTCCTCTAAAAGGTATTAAATGAAGAAACAATGATAAGTTTTATCTGGCGTCCTTAATATGTGAGTTCATTAGATAGTGCTCAGTGCACCGATAAGCACTGTAGAACATTTAATCATAATAAAAGGAATTCCACAGTTGAATAGTAATATATATCTGTATACCAGATGAGGGTAAAAATATATGGGTTTTTTTTCTGCTATGTGGATGATTCAAACAGCTTAGAAAATTATCCTGTTGTTGAAATACTTCCCAAAGTCAGAATAGGCCATTTTTCTCCTTTCGTGTAGATTATCTCGTGGACATAAATGGCCTTCAAAAAGTCCCTGACAAAATTCTAGCAACTTATTCATTTTCTGAGTAGTAGAAACAATAACAATATTTTTTGTCCAATGACAAAATTATTTTCTAAGTGAAAATATATTATTTAGAACAATCAAGCACACCACTACCAAACATGCCACCATGATTTCATATAATATAGCTTTGGTAATTTCAGAATTCAACTCCTACTATTCTGTACACTGATTAATATCCTAGCACAGAGTTCCCCAACCTTTCCGGTTTTGTAGGACTGGCAGAAGGAGGAGGAGGGGATGGTTTTCTGTGAATGGCTTGTAAGCACACGTGCATATTGCTTGCACAAGGGGTGCGCATGCACACTCACCCAATGTTTGCATGGTCTGGTTGCAAACAGCTCACGGCACACTAGTGGGTTGTGGCCCAGAGGTTGGGAATCCCTGTCCCCTAGCACTTATTGAACATTAAATAGGCCTTAATTTGATCTAAGCAGACCAATTGTGTTGCAGACAAAATTGATGGTTGTTTCACACACTTTTGAGGTTTTTGCAGAATATAAAATACTGCAACTTCATTTCCATGTTTGGAGAATTCGGGGATGACTGAGTGGTTAGATGGACTTTCCTGACACTGACTTGAATAGTTTTGTGTCATGAATAAATTCACAAATTCTATGAATATTGGAGTCCATTGGTGGGATGGGGATGGCAGTGTATGATAGTGACATCTAGTCCCGTCACCTTTTGTGTTTAGTCTCGGGTCCTTTGGTACCTGATTTATCTCTACATTTGCGAACACAAAATAAGAAAAAATTCTATTGTCTATACCTAGCCATGCTGTGCCACTAGCTGTAAATGCCTCCTGGAGAGGACCTGGCTGGCTATCACTCCGACTTTTGCCATGTGTTGCACTCTGAAAAGTATAGTTGACATAAAATGCAGCAACACAAATATTGAGTGGTAATGGTTTTTATATATCTTTTATCCTGCAACACTGGAAATTTCTCTTAGCTCATTGCCAGCTGGAGGCATCATTAGTCCTATTTCACTGAGGGAGCCAGAGGAGCTTTCTGTAGAGGAAGACGTTGCAGAAATAGAGAAATAGTACTTGAAAGAAGAGGAGGAATAATAATTATTTTTCTCCAAATTTGGCAACAGTGTTCTTCTTTCCTTTGGCCTACAGCAGTGGCATCCAAACTGGGAGTTGAAGTTCACAAGTCTAAAATGTTTCAAAATGTTGCACAAATTGGATATCCCTGATCTACATTTAATGGTACTGAGGACACAGAGGTGGCAGAAGCAGGATTGAGGAAGAATGCACATAAAAACGTAGTAAATTGATGACAGAAAAACAGCCAGTGATCCACTGAGCCTGCCCTCTGAGTTTTTTTGTTTCTTTTTATTTTTTTTATTTTTGTTGGATGATAGTGTTGGAAGTTAGAAAAATGAAATATTTTAGGATATACTAATGTTGGAAGAAATATCTTTCTGGGTTCAGTTCCAAGTGGGGAAAAAGACACTGGAAACATGGAGGCTGTTTGGAAGGTTTAATGGACAGGACCACATGGCCTGGAGCTGCAGAGTGAAAAGGAAGGATGATCACATGCTTCAAGGTGAAGAAGAGATCAAAAAAGGCTGATATGCTGAGAGTGCCTGGGTTTTATAACCTTTGTTGGGATTTGAATTGGAGTTTGTATTCTGATTGGTTGTCAGACTCCATGAGCCATGCAGGGGCAACTCTGTAGGCTGTCCTGAGTTCCAGGCTTGGTTGTGCCTTACTGGTTGATGATGAAAGGGCTTTTGAGCAATTGCTATAGCTTTACCTGGAGATCTTTGTTATGTAAAGTATTTTGGCCCAGGCCTTAATGGCCCACCCATTAACAAAGGTGGGGGTGAGCTTCTGCTTCTGAGGTGAGTTTCTGCTCTTGAGTTTCTACTCTTTTTAGGGAAAATATTTTGCCTTTTTAATATTTTCTAGGATATTTCAATTTTCTAGGAGAGGGGTGGGTGCTAACTTCCTACACTAATAAGGCAGAATATTTCCCCTAAAAGAGAAGGAGAAACTCAGCCTCCCCACTTTGCGAATGGGCCATTAAGGCCTGAGCCAGTCTATTTTACAAAGATCTACCTTCCTCAGGTAGAGCCATAATAGGAATTGCCCAAAGCCCTTTCATTACCTCATCATCCAGCAGGGCTCAACCAAGCCTAGGACTCAGGATAGCCTACAGAGTTGCCCCAGCATGGCCCCATGGGAGTCTGACAACCAATCACAATACAAGCTAAAATTCAAATCCCAACAGAGGGCATAAAACCAAGGGACTCTCAGCATTTCTTCCTTTTTTTTTTCTTCACCCGCAGTATGTGATCCTTTCCACCATTAAACCAGCTCTCCAAGCAGTCACCATGTTTCCAAGCTGACTGGGGAATTCTGAGAGCTGAAGTCCACCAGGCTTAAAGTTGCCAAAGTTGGAGAGTCACACACGGTCCCTTGAAGGGAGGCCAGCAAAAGCAGGTGGCATCCTGACCTCTCAAAGCGAGGTCAGCGATAGGCTTCAAGCCCCTTCGTCTTTTAAGCTACCATGTCTAGGGAGATTCTCAGTCATCGAGGTCAGAGGTTATTTGTTTATTTATTATTTTGTCAAGCGATTATAGGATAACAGGCATAAGTATAAACGTAGTTATGAATCCATGAAATGGATACATATAAGAAAAATAAAAGGTGTTTTATTTTTAACTGGATAGTAGGGAATGGAAGGATTTATATGCATACCGGCTGTCTGCAAGGAATATAATTCCTTCCATTCCCCACCATCCAGCCAGAGCTGAAAAAGCTTCTTGGATGAGAAGCGAAACGTCTTCAAAGAAAAACCAGAAAGTCCCGTTGCCTCTTGGGGGAAAAAAAAAAACACCTTTGGGACAAAACTACCATTACTTTCACTTTCCAAGAAGCCGCTCCCGGAGCGGCTGTTCGGCTCACCCCTATTTCCATTCGAGCACCCGCAGTGACCTGAAACTAACGCCCCACCCTTCCAGGCTGAGGCCTTCACAAGTCAAGCCGCCCTTGTCAGCTTCGCGGCTTCCGAGCCCCCTTCGCAATTCCCGACGCTTTTGGGGAGGCGCTTCCCGGAGGGTGGGGGTTGGGGGGAAAGGGAGGTGGCGCGCGGCGTGAGGAGGCCGCGAGAAGGTGTCGGAAAGCGGATGCAGCCGGGAGAGTCGCCGAAAGGCGGCTTCGCAGAGGAGGCGGTTGGAATCGACCAATGAGCGGGCACGGCTTAACGGCAGGAGGAGGAGGAGGAGGCCGAGGCCGTCCCCAAGGCCTGGAAGAAGGTTCTGTATGACCCCCCTCTCCTTCCTTTCGGGCTGATCGCGAAGTACGCTTCTGGGCATTACTAGGGCGGCCCTCCGCCTCTCTTTCCCCCATCCCCATCGGTTGCTGTTCTTGCAGGAGGAGGCTGGCTGGAGGGTGGGTGCGCCTGGCGCCCCTGAGATGGGCCCGGAAGAAGGGCCGTAGCGCTCTGCTGCTGAGCGGATCCGCGCCCCCTCTCCCATATTTTGGCCTTAAAGATGGCTTTTGTTGACGGTCGTTTTATCCGAGGGCGCGCGGATGAAGGTGGGAGAAAGAACCTTGGTGTGGAGTATTCTCTTAATGGTCCTTTATTTGCATTTTCGGCTGATGCGAGGTTTCAAAAAAAATAAAAATCCGCAGCATGTTTTGAAATAGACTGCACCAGCCAAGCGGAAACGGGTTAAAATTTGCCTTTTTCTAACCCCCACTTCCCCTTCCCCATTTTAATATCCAGATAATTTAGCCCCGATGCAGCCGAGCAGGAGACGCAAAATCGTGTGGGACGGCTTCGCTGGGAGCTCACCTGCGAAATTCAGCAAGCTCACCGAAGAGCCGGCCCAGCCGCCTCGCGGGAGTCCCGGCGGTAGCCAGGCGGCCGGGTTTGGGAAGCCTCGCGTCTTCTCCCCGGCGTTTTCGTGCAGGGAGTTCTCCCGAACTTCGTTCGCTGCCGAGGATTCTTCCTCTGATGAATTTGAAGCAGATGGTGACATCAGCGGTGGTGGGCAAGAGCCTCCTGTCCTCAGCAAAACCTTCCTCACAAAGCCCTCTGCTTCGGATATGTCGGCGAAAAATGTGGCGTTTTCCAACCGGGAATCCCTGAAGGTATGTTAAGTAGCAGCTGAAACTGCTGAGTAGAAGTAGTTGCAGAGGGAATTGGAGAATATAGATATTGCTGTTGATTCTTAGATGTTTTTATGACTTGGCAGTTATTTATTATACAGTGCTACTTGGAAAGGGTTTAGTGATGAATGGCCTCAAAAATCCGTATTTGACTAAAATACAGTATGCTGTATTTTGATAACCTTCTTTTGGAGGATAATTCCATTTTTATCCAGTCATTAGGCTTTCATTTTGTAATTTTTTTTGAAGTATTTGTAATTAATGTTACGTTGCCCTCTCTCATTTGGCCTTCAAAATATTTTTAAAATTATATATCCCAGATATTTTCCCCTCTACAGTCTTTAAGAAATAGGCAATTCTGGTCTCACTAGCAAAAAACAATTAACTAGAATTTGATAGCTTATATTATCTAAATTATTTTGCCTGGTTACCGTCCTTGTAGTAAGTAAGGATAAACATAAGAACAAATGTTGACTTGCAGTTTTGGTTTTGAGAGTAGATTGCCAGGAGCCCTGGTGACATGGCAAGTTTCGGATCCTGGCAGAGTTAGTCCTTATAATGTGAGGAACCAAGTAACAGGGAAAAAGCTATTCTGAACCAGCATGTAATGTATGGCCTGTAAACAAGAATTCCTTCAAAATCTCAGTTTTATTATTGCTGATGAACATGGCTATTGCTGCTTAACCTAGTATGAGCTAAATAGTTTTGAGAGTTGGCTTTTACTTACAATTTATGGAGCTTACCTTACTCTTTACTATTTAGATCAAGCAAGAAGATTGCAGTGATGCAAGAATAAATATTGCAGCAGTCCCTGAAAGAAAAAGTGCTTTGAAAGAAAAGTGGGCTGAATGCGGCCGGAAAAGAATAAAAGGCCAAGATCCAGATGAGGGATCTCGATTAATATATCGTAAAGCTCTGCTGAGTATATTTGGGGGACAATTGCAAGCCCGAAGAAAATCTTCATCTCTAAATGGAATTCATAAGGAAAGCCCTTCTAAAGAAGAGGAACTCGGCTCAGTTAACAACCGGAGACAATTTTCGGTAGTATCAGAAATTAGAGAGCAACAAGCTGGAAACAAATCTCTTTGTTTGAAAACTGCACCTAAGGAACGTATTAATATTTCTGTTAAGCAAGGCAATAAAGAATCATGTTGGTCAGATGGCAGTTCAAGGCATGTATCTCTAATGTCAAGTTCAGAAGAAAAAGAACAAGAATCCAACATTCAGAAGGATTCTTTGAATTCAGAAAGCTCTGTAGAATTGCAATTTGAAAAAAAATCGGAACTTCAAGAGGACTCCAACTTCAAAAAAGCTACTACAAAAAAAGAAAATAAAACTTTGCAGTACAGTACAAAAGAGATTTCTAAACCAGGAACTGGATTAATACAAATCTCTACAGTATCGAGATCAGAGCATGAAACAGATTTTCAACCAGATCTCAACATTGAGAAAGCTGTTACAAAAACAGATAATAAAACTGATCATAGTGTTAAAGTTTCCAAACCAAGGCATAGTTCAAAACATAGACATAAACGATCAAAATCTGAATATGAATTGGAAGTTCAACAGGCTTCCAGCTTTAAGAAGGCTGTTAAAGAAACAGAAGAAGAAAGTTCTAAGTATAGTATAAGAGAACATGCCAAACCTTTGGTTAGGTCAAAGCAAAGTCATCGATTATCAAGACTTGAGGATGAACTTGATGTGCAAGAAGATTCCAATATTGAAAAAGCTTCTACAAAAAGAGAAAATAAAACTAAGTGTGATACAAGAGAACTTTCCAAACCGGTAGTTACCTCCAAATATGTTCACATAGAATCAAGTTATGAAGATGAAGTAGAATTTTATCAGGGATCAGATGACTCACAGGTTTCAGTAAAAGAAAAAATAGAAGTTGGGCAAAGTAAAACGAAGAAAGAAAATTTCCATTCACAGCAGAAATTTAAAATCAAGTCTAGCTGTTCACAAATTGGAGAGCAAAAAGATGAGCAAGTCTCTTATAAACAGCTTAGTAAAACCTCTGATGGGAATATTTTTGCTAGCCAAGGTAAAACAAAAAAATGGAAATCAGAAACTCACTTGAGAAGCATAGCTGAAAATTCAAAATGTGAAGCTGAAGAGACCAAGCAGAACAGCAATAATCAGAAAGCTCTTATAAAAGGTATCAGTGCTTCTGCAAAACATAAAAACATAACAAAAGACAAATGTATTTCTTCCACTTCATCTAATGCACAAAGTGATGCCTCAGAGAAGTTTGTGAATTTGCAGACAAGTGTTACTGTTGAATCCTCTCAAGAATTAATGTTTATGGATGATTCAGAAACAGATCAAAAGGTAAAACATTAACCTATTAGAAGGTAATTTCTAAAAAACATAAATAATATTGTCACTATTTTAACCAAACCTAAGAAACCTAAATTGAATGAAAATACATTTAACTTAGTCTGGAAATGTGCTAAAATGCCTCAGCTTTTCATTATTTTTTATCTAGATAGTGCAAGAATTATAGCAGGCTTTAATTGATAAAGAGAGTTGCTTTAATTGATCAAATATTTAGGGATTCTAATTATGTAGATGTTTAGAAGTGGCACCATTGTGGGAAATTTAAGTGGTAGATGGAAATGTGATTCCAGATAACACAGCAGATCTATACTTTTACTGAAATATTTCTATATTTGACAAACCTTCGCTTCATTTTGAGACTATATTAGCTTTTCTGGGAGTTTTCAAGTTGCATGATTTTTTTAAGAATTTCTGATAAATTATTAAGAATACATATATCTTAGCCAGATGTCCATAGTAGACCTAAATTATTCAGAATGAGTTACACTCAATGAATGATATTATTTCCAACTATTTGCCTTAATGACAAATAATCTGGCTTTAGATGTGATTTTTAAAAATTTACTACAGCAATTCTAACTGTCCTTTTTTTACAATTACAATAGTCATAGAACTGGAATGCCTAATAAAAGATAAGTGTACAAAGTAAACTCTTAGAACAGCTGGTTTTAGATGCTTAGGAAGTCTATCAGCAGTTCAGGTGAGAGAGGGAAGGGAGGTCAGTGGGAAGATTGTATTGGCCTGCTGGAAAATTGTGTTACACTGGGACATTTTAGGGACAGTCCTATCAATTGACTATACTGCACCAGAAGCTGCTGAGGGAAGAAATGCCATGGCTGCCATTTTAAATATTGTTATAGAAAAAAAATAGATTTTTGAATAAGTCTCATTTTTATGCTCATCTTAAATGGATCTCTCCCTTTTTTTTCAGTGTATGGAGTTCAAGAAAGAGCTTTCAGGTGAAAATAATTGGTCCGACACGGAAGATGGAGAACCACTGGTTACTTTTTCACAAGAAGATTCCATCTCTAACCACAGTCTTTCAGAACCAAAGGAAATGTCATTGTCAACAACAGAAGTTGTGATGTATCCTCCTCATTTATACAGTCAGAAAATGAGTGTTTATTCAAAATACTGGACAAGCAGTCCAAAGTCAACACATACTTTTTCAAGCCCCACTGAAAACCTTTCATATTCCAATCATCTCTGTGATATTTCTTTAGAAAGATCAATAAATACAACGAAGGATAAAAAATCTTCAGAAAGTATGCAAGAGAGAGAGTGGTCATATGGTTCCTTATTGGACTATAAAGAGAAAAAAAGACGCCACAATGTGGAAATAGCATATGTCCCCATCTTCTCTTCATCACGCAAGTCAGACTCTTTTACTAATAATTGTGTAAACCAGGATTTATCTAGGAGCTTGCCCAAATATTTAGAAGAAGGTTTTATTGATACGCACTGTCATTTGGACATGTTATATTCAAAAACAGGTTTCAGAGGCACTTTTTTTGAATATAGGAAAATGTATAGTAGTACTTTTCCTAAAGAATTTCAGGGCTGTATAGCTGACTTTTGTGACCCTCGTACTTTAAAAAACAACTTGTGGGAAGATTTATTAAAAGAAGACATGGTTTGGGGGGCATTTGGCTGCCATCCACATTTTGCTCGTTATTACACAGAACTTCATGAAAGAACTCTCTTGCAGGCAATGAGACACCCCAAAGCAATTGCCTTTGGCGAAATAGGACTGGATTACTCTCATAAATGTAGTACAGAAATTTCAGAGCAGCATAAGGTAAATGTTTATACTAAACTGTGTTAACATACTTTATAATTGTGTAGTACTAAACAGTAATTGCATTGATTAACTGGCTTTAGATAAAATACCTTGTCAGACCTCTGAAGGTGATAATAGTTTTAATGGTGGATTGCAGAAGTGTCCAAAAAAGTTTTGAACTCAGCTGCCAAATTTTGAAATCCAGTTGCTCTGTTTCAAGTTCAAAGCAACTGTTTTGGTCTTGCTGGAAGTGTCCCAACAATGTTCTGAGCTTAAATGGCCCCAGTTACCACTCAAAAGTACCAGTTTCAAATCTAATGTCAAAACATTACAAATTCAGAATCTTAGAGAATCTTTTTTTACTCCGGAGTGGATTGTTGAATCATTGTGACAAATTCCAAGCCTTTTTAAAAAAACTTCAGAATGGGTTGTTGAATCATTGTGAAGTGTTATTTCCAAAGAAACATGCAATGCTGTCCTAAAATGGTAAATGTGATAAATAACTGAAAACAGTCCAGTATTTCTTGTATTTAAGTATTCATCATATGCTTTGGTTTGGTTACATTATAAAAGGCCGTGCTTAATGCTAGCATATTTCCCCCATGTCTTACTTTTGTTCTCAGGGCAATTGTAATGGCCTTTGAAGGTGTGCTGCTTTTTACTTGCTTCAGGTTTTTGAGAGGCAACTGAATCTAGCTGTTTCCTTAAAGAAGCCATTGGTCATACACTGCAGAGATGCTGATGGTGATCTGTTAGAAATCATGAAAAAATGTGTACCAAAAGACTACAAAATACACAGGTAATTGTACTGGGTTCTTAAATTGTATTATTCCTTTTATTTAAAAGAAAAACAGTAATTGGATCTTGAAAGGATTAACAGTCTGCCTGATTAGAATATTATCATGAGGTGTAACTCTAGACAACAACACCTTTGAAAAATTATAGAAACTGAGAGATTTGAGTTGTGAAGACCTTACAATTTATGGACAGCTAAGCAATGTATCAAATAATTTTTTCCCATGGTCTCTTCTAATTCACAAATCAAAGCTGAAAATGAAAACATAATCTGAATGAAAGAATTCAATTTCATTGAAGTAAGATTCCATAAATAATAGTTTTCATTCAAGATAATTTTGACTAAAGGTTTTCATACACAATTTTTTTACCAAAATGGTAGCTACTATGCTACTTAACTGTTTTGTTAAGTTTTTAGTATGACCTTTATTAATGTTTTCTTGTTTCTGATTATTCATCTGACATAGTGGGATGACCATTATTTTTGATTCCTTCATAGGCATTGCTTCACTGGCAGGTATAGTGTCATTGAACCACTTTTAGACTACTTTCCAAATCTAACTGTTGGATTCACCGCATTGCTATCTTACCCATCAGCAAATGAGGCTAGAGAATCTGCTCGAAAAATCCCATTAAATAGAATAGTGGTAGAAACAGATGCACCATATTTCCTTCCTCGGCAGGTAAGATTGTTTTTTAAAAATGCATCCATTATCTTTTACTCTATACTGAATTAACATAAGTGGTTTTTTTTTTTTGAAAGGGAAAGTCCTAGGATAGGAAGTATGATTTTGAAATGTAAGAGGCTGACATTTTTTCTTTTGATTTGTAATAAAATAGTTGATGCATGTGATATCTCAGAAAACTAACAAAAGATTGATAACAGAGATATTACAATATTACAGGCATCAAAATATTCCATTAGTTCAAAGCTTTCCATATCCAGTAAAAACTGAGATCAGTGTATTTGTAGCACTACTAAATAAAATTGAAAGTAGTTCTAAATTTAATTATGCCTTCATTGCTGTATTTTGATGATATGCAAATAAATAAAGCAGAGGCAAAATAGCCCTTAACAATGACATGGTTTATGTATTAAATGAAATTATTCCTAATCCATGTTATATTATATATTCATTTGTGCTAATGTTACATAATAATAAAATCAATTTCCTTAGTAGGGAAAAGAATTTAATACATCAACCAGTATAGATGATTCAAATTTTTAATCCAAATGGAACTCTGACAGAATGTAAGCATAATAGGTGGAAGAACATACTGGTAGTCCTCAGTTAAACGTTTACTGGAATTTTTGTTGATAATGGATCTGGTCATAAAGTGCAATGTCACCTGACTACATTGCTTAGTGACAGCAATACCAGCAGTTTCCGTTGCTGTCATTAACCAAATACCACCAGTAGTTATGTGAGGAGCCACCCATTCCCAGTTTGGTCCGTCTCAGACTGAAACCTTGGTAAGGAAAGGGACTGTCTCCTCTTAATTCCTCCCCCATCGCCCCCTATCTCTGTCTTTTTTGCCTCCCTGCAGGACAGCATTTGGCAGCAGGGGATGGTAGTAGTACCAGCAATGTTGCAGTGTCCCTAGCACCATTGGAGGGTGCCAAACCTCAACCCTGCACCACAACTAGCCCTACAGCACAAACCCCAGCTGTCCTCAACAAACTCTGCTTCACAGCTCCTGTTGCTCCTAGCTGACCATCAACTTCTTCCTTCTGTTGTTTATGAGGTGCACCTTATGCAAGACAGCTCGTATCAAGCCTTCTCTCCGAGGCTACATATGCACTTCTCCAAACTGCATGCTACTTCCTCAAGATTTTTGAGGCCTTCCAAAAGCTCATGGGAAGGCTGCACCCACACTGCATCCCCAAATGCCCATGGCCTCATTATTTTTCAGAAGGCCTCAAACTCTTTCTGGAGCATAATGAGGAAGCAGCACACAGTTTGGAGAAGCATGCACGTGGCCTTGAGAAGAAGGTCTGGCAAGGCCAGCAGCTGCCTCACATAACACCTGGTTGGATGTGCCTTGTCACCAGCAGGAGGAAGCTGGCAAAGATGGTTAGCATGCAGGACCTGGTAGGGCTGGGACTAAGCACTGGCTGGCTGTGGCATGGGGCTTGAGGTGACACTCCTCAGCAACAAAGAGTAGCAGTACTAGGGCTGAAGTAGAGGCCCAGGGGTGGTAATAGGCGGTTGAGACTGCTGAAAGCCCTGTGCCTCTATTTCAGTTCCAGCAGTGCCACCCTAAAAGGAATTATGCTGTACGGAGCAATTAAAAGGGTGGAGATAAAGGGGGAAATAGGCAGATGGGAAAAGTGCCCCTCTGGTTGTAAGTCTGAGTAGGCTGCCTAGCAGCCACATTTTGTCTATGTAGTCATGGAAGCTATGCAACAACCATAACTTTAGGGGACCAGTCAAGTTACACTGGTTCATCTTCACTGTAACTAAACGATTGCTGAATGAATGGTGGTTAACTGAGAAGTGCCTGCAAATGTTTCCTAAAACTAATGAGTCTTGAAGAACGAAAGCAGTATAGAAATTGCACTTAGGCTTATATACCACCCCACGGTATAAGTATATAAGTATACCATGGGGTGGTGGTATATAAGCACTCTCTTGAGTGGTTTACAACATCAGCATATTGCCCCCAAGAATCTGGGTCCTCATTTTACTCACCTTAGAAGGATGGAGGGCTGAGTGAACTTTGAGCTGCTCAGGATCGAACTCCTGGCAGTGGGCAGAGTTAGCCTGCAATACTGCATTCCAACCACTGTGCCACCATGGCTTCTGTGAAATACCAATATCTGCTAAAGACAGCCATAGAATATATACCATATCACATGAAGCAATATTGTATTTTGAGCACTGCATCTCTTTAACAATTTCCCCCCAAAAAAGATACATAGATATAATTATAAGTTACAGTAACAATCTATTATTAATAATATAGTCATGACACAATAAAGCATATCAAAATTTTAATTCCTTATTTCATGTTTCTGTATGCAATATATTGTTAAATATTCAATGTGTTCTAAAACTGTTATATAATAAAGTTATTATAGACTTCTTAGAAGAAACAGGTTAAATTCTCTTACCGCTAGAACAGATTCCAAAGGACATTTCTAAACATCAAAACTCTTTTAACTTAATACATTCATTGCCACTGCACTTAGTAGCACATTGCGGCTATATTGCAGCTCCTCAAACAGCATGCTATATGAAGGCAAAATTTCAGTTGGAATAAGGTGGGGCTAATGTCTTGGAAATAATATTGATTCATGTGGGGTGACAAGAAGTTGTTTTGTGGTCTTAGAGGTGGTGACTATTTTAGCCATACTGTGCTGTATATAGGAGGATAGAAATTGAAAAATTTCATAGGCGGAGAACTTGAGGGTAACTGAGGGGTAACTGAACTGACAGAGTTCCCCAACCTTTCTGGCTTTGTGGCCCAGTGGGTGTGGGGAGACGGGATGGTTTCAGTGGGTAAGCATGTGCGTGGGCACATCTCCATTTACACAAGTGGTGGAATTGCCCACTGTTTGTGCAAAAGGAGTGCACCCACAATACTGCTGCTTGTGCAAATGGGGATGCGTACTGTCTTGCCTGCCACTTTGGACAGCCCAGTTCTGAACAGTTCACGGCCCAGCAGTGGGCTGCGGCCCAGAGGTTGGAGACCCTTGCTTGTAAAAGAAGTGAAACTTGAGGTTGAAATTGCTATTAGCTGCACATTAATATATTGATAACCAAACTTTTTGGGAGGAGATGTCAATCTTTCTGCTAGTAAAAGAAGATAAGTAGTTAAGTCTGTTTAGCAATTGCAAGATTTTTTTACATGTTGCTATACATATTGTTAATAAAAACAACTTTGTTTGCAGCAATAGAAAGACATATAGAAAGGGCTATATCTAAGATAAGATATGATCATTTGTTACTTGTTAACCTACTTTCTTGTTTATAGAGTTGAAATCTGTTCTTTGTCTAAAGCTCCTTTTTTTTCTAGGTGCCAAAAAGTGTTAGCCGGTTTTCTCATCCTGGAGTAGCTCTGCACACAGTGAAAGAGATTGCCTATCTCAAAGGGGTGTCATTACCTGTCATGTTAGCTGTTCTAAGGCAAAACACCAACAAAATTTATAACTTGTAAGAAGGTGCAAAGAGAAGAGGGAAGAACTGGAGAGGAAATGCTTTTGTAAAGTTGATTTGATCCTTTTAAATTTATTTTATAAATGTAAATATAGATCTGAACTTGGAATACCCTTTAATATCTTTTTTTAATTCCTTCAATTCTGTTACTTGTTCCTGCTCTTTAATGTGCCTCGGTGTTGATTTTAATTCTAAGAGCTTTGGTTTTTTAGTTGTTAATCTTTGGGGGCACAAACTGTCAGTATTTTAATTTTTCAAAAAGAAAACAAAAACAAACCTAAAGTGCTCTTAAAATTATTAAGCTAAATTGAAGTATTTCTTCTGAGCAGCATAATCACCTACAATAATGGCCAAAATTGTGGAAACCTTTTGGGAAAAGTGTATTTTTGAAATTTGATGGCTAATAACACCACTTTTTTGGGAGTAGTATCATAAAATTATATATCAATGGAAAGATAATTTAATCAAGAATGTAATGCAATAACTTTTATGAAGGATTTGCTATTAAAATAGCAGTTATAAAGAAGAAAAGTGACACACATAGGAAAAACGAATATACAAAAATCATCAGAAAAAATGAGATATACAAAAATTATCACCATAGAAAAAAATGAAATATACAAAAATTATCACCATATCAGTTAATACTTAGTTGGGTAACCTTTAGCATGAATTACAGCCTAACAACATCTTCCCATGGAGTGAACCAAGTGTTTTAGTTCTGCAGCTGTTATAATGTGAAACCAAGATTGAATGATTGCTTCTATTAACTGGGTTTTATTACTTGGTTGCTTTTGACTAACAAGTTTCTTTAGTCGGCTCCATAGATTTTCAATTGGGTTAAGATCTGAGCTATTCCCAGGCCATTCCAGCAGTGCAATATAATTATCTTGAAACAACCTTTTGCATACAGCAGCAACATGACATGGAGCTGAATCCTATTGAAATATAAATGCTTCATTATCTTGGAAAAGATCGTGTGTGGAAGGCTTCAGTTTGGGTCAAGTATTGCATTAATGTATTTTTGACCATTTATACTGTATAATACCATTAATCACACAAATTCTGCCCACACCTTTTGATGTCATACAACCCCAGACCATAAAACTGACTGGGTGTTTCAAAGTACATGTAATGCAATCAGGATGCAAATCTTCTCTGATTCTTCTCCTTATATATTTTATGCCATCACTACCAAACAGGGAGATCTTGGTCTCATCACTCCAAATAACATTATCCCATTGTTCCTGTCTAGGTAACATGGGTTTTAGCCCAGTTTAGTCTTTTCAACTTTTATTTGTGAGATAAAAGTGGCTTTTTCATGGAATTCTAGATTTTAGGCCAAATTCTTGCAGTCTGTGCCAAACAGTCCTTGCATTCAACTTCACATTGAATTGCATCTTGTATACACCCAGATGATTTTCTTCTGTCACTTAGGCACAGTCTCTTAATTCTTCTATTATCACTTGCTATTGTGCACCTTTTCCTGCCTTTACCAGTGTGGTTTTGTAGTGACTGAGTCTCCTTATACCTCTTCAAAAATTTAGAAATGCCACCTTTGGTTAAGTTTCCACCATTTTTTCTTTTAATTTTTTACAACTGTAGCCTTGTTCACTTAATAATAGTATTTTACATTGCTTTCTAGGCAACTAGTCAACTCTTTGCACCATTACTTTAATTTTATTACATTTATTATGTTATTACGCTCACTAAATGAAAGAACACAAAAAACCCGACCAACTTGATAATGATCTCATAAATACACTGACAAATGTCCTCCTTTTAGCTTCAATACATGACATCAATAACTGAACCCTACTGTGATCTGATTGGTTCATTGCCAAAACAAGATGATACCTGATTGGCTCTCTAAACACTCATGCTCTTTGGCTACAATCAGATGAAGGAGAACTACCTGATACTAACCTAAGCAAGTTGTTTATTTGGCTATAACTTTTCACAGAACACAGATAATTGAACAGACTTCGTTGCATTACATTCTTGATTAAATTATCTTTCCATTAATATATAATTTTATGGTACTATTCAAAAAAAGTGGTGTTAGCCATCAAACCTCAAAACTACACTTTTCCCAAAAGGTTTCCACAATTTTGGCGACTATGGTAATTGCTGCAACAAAAACATTGCCCATTTATCTAACATACATGTAGAAATAACCTCGAAGAAGTAATGAAATGTATTCCCTGTTTCTGGTCAATTTTTTTCCAACATACTAACCCATTCACTCTTTTCACAAAATAAAAATAAATGATGAATAATTTTTTAAAGAGACATAAATATTGTTTACACTTAATGAAAGTCACAGAAATTCCCTAGCTTCATTATGCTGAAGTGAAAAATACCTGCACGCATGCAGGTTAATGAAACAAAGTTAAGGGAGTAAAATAGGGTATCAAGATGATTCATGAAAGGCTAATTAACTTTTAATTTCTATTTGAATGTGTTCATTTTTAGTTTCTTCAAAGAGTTCTTAATTAGGGAAGTGATTATATGTTTCTATAATTTTATGCATTACTTTGACTTTAAACAATTTGTCAATAAATTATTTTTGTATCAGTGTTCTGACAATTAATCATCTCGGCAAAGCAGAAATATTGTAGTCAATAACACTGAAAAGAAACATTCCTTTGTCTTCAGAGCAGCTGTGTGTTTTAGCTTTGAAATTTACTTCTGTAGATACTCTTGGTCATGTTATTAAATATGTTTCACAGTGTTTATGAAAGTAGATTTTTAAATAGTTCTTTTTCTCCTTTTGCATGTATGTTCAAGGTATACACATTAAGAAGGAATGGCAATATACTATTATCCTGCTAATATGCTAAAGGAATGCAACAAGATTAAGAAAGATGTCTTTTCCTTAAAGGTTATATTTACCCCTTTGATTTTGAAATTTTGTAATAAACTAATACTTTTCCTTTTTGGGCTGCAAAGCATTAGGCTAGTGGTATCCAGATAAATTAATTTTAGAATCTTGTTTTAAGAGCTATCTAGGGGATTATTCCTTTCCCTTATTCTCATCCACCTTCTTTGGTATTTGCTTTTTATTTCTGGCTTTCAACAGCTCAAGGTTTTTATGCTGAACCATAGTTACACATTCTGGAATCAGAAGATTTATTGGGTATTAATTAATAATCTTGTGCTTCAAAATTCAGAATAAGAGTTGGGGAAGGGACCTTGGAGGTCTTCTAATCCAACCCCGCTCAAGGAGGGAAACCCCGTATCACTCAGACAAATGGGTGTCCAGTCTCTCTTTAAAAGCCTCCAGTGATTCATTTCTCAGGTTGCTTGTTTGAGAGGTGAAAAGAACTGCAGTTATTTTTTTTCTATATTTTGCACATGTAACCAGGTTTCTTAGTGCTATGTTAATATAAACATCTTGCAGAAATACAGCCATAAAAGAGCCAGCAACGTGAAATGAAGATTGAAAGCTGTATTTTTATTAGTATGAACAAGAGATAAAACTAGCAATATACCAGTAAAATTAAATGGCCTTGTTCACAAGATTTTTTTCTGAATGGCTCTTCTATTCAGGCGTCTTCCTCCTTTTTGTTGTGTATCAGAAAGTGATGAAGAAAGGATTGGGGAAATAACTGATCGTTGCCGTTTTCAAACTGGTGTTTCCCCAAATTCTGCCTCTGAAAATTTTATGTGGCCTTCATAATGATGCTTGAATAAAAGAGCCATTGAAAAAAAACATTCAGTGAGAATAGAAAAATGGTGTAGGTTAGCAATCATCAATATGTGTGCAATAAATTATTTCCATAAATTGAGTGGGATCAGGTTAAGTAAATAGCAGTTTATTTCATTGGGATTGTGGATTGTAAAAGGAGCAAATGTCTCCCTTTGCGCACTTGGTCTTCTCAAATTGAGTTGACAAACCACAGATATATACTCAACATTGTTTAGATTACAAAATTAGACAAAATGGAAAACAGACACTGCTGGCATTATCCTGCTCAAAAGAACAAAGTGGCCCCAGAATCCACCTGCCTTTTTCATCACAAAGTCATGGATGTCCAAAGTGAAATTCCAGAGGAAATTTGAGGAGTATCTGGATCTGAAGAAAGGCCAAAAAAAAAAAAAAAAGGCAACGTGGAGATTTGATCAAAGGAACAACGGAAAAAGAGACTCCTGGCAGGTGGGCAGGAGAAGATGGGGAAGTGAATTGGTTCCAGACCCTAACTTAAGTGGCCAGTAATTGTACTAACCTAATGATAGATGATCTGATCTTTTAACTACCTCTATTGCCAAACCATCTGCCTTAATCAGTCAACAATTAGGGAGCAACCAATCTTTAGCACCAGTGCCCACATCTTTCAGATTGGTGATTAACAGTGTAATTAAAGAGAAAAGCTCAAATGAAGCCACAAGAATTAATTTTTTGATGTATTCTTGGTTACCCAGTAATAATGATGGTTAATTTTTAAGATTTTTTCTGTAACAGGCAAACATGGCTACCTTTTAGGAAATTATTCCCATTTTTCATGTGACTCAAACTATAGAAAATAATGGACATGTAACATATATAGGACCCTAGAAAAATACGTATCAGAAAATCTCATATTTTTGAATTAGTTTTTAAAACAATGCAATCATAAGGCTGGTAAAAATGACTTTTATCCAGAAATAATGGATGCTTGTATTATGGATTCATTTTATTATATTTAAGAGTGATCCAACTTGAGGAACTCTGGACAGCTTACATCAGTAGTGGCTAACCTTTTGGGGCTCCTGTGCCAAAAATTCGCACAAAAATTCTCGCGTGCCAGCACCTAGAAGGCAATGCATGTGCCCCCCATGCCTCCTGTGCATGCGTGTATGATTCCCCCCCCCCCCGCTGCCCCCTTACCTGCACTGTGCCTCCCAACTGATTTTTGGCCTCCCAGAGGCTTGAGGGAAGCCTCTGCAGCCTTTTAGGCCAAAAAATGGGCCTGTTTTGTCACTTCCAATATTTCCAGAAATATAGGAAGTGACAAAACGGGCCTTTTTTTCAGCCTACAAAGGCTGTAGATGCTTCCCACAAGTCTCTGGGAGTCCGAAAAAGGCCTCAAACGGGCCAAAAATCAGCTGTGAGGCGCGCACATATGCAATGAGTTAAGTTTGCCTGGGGCTTGTGTACCCGCACAAATGGCTCTGTGTACCACCTGTGGCACGCATGCCATAGATTCGCCATCACGGGCTTACATTATTCGATAGTAAAAACAAAGAAAAAATGTGAGGATGCATAGTGAACTAAATGACCTTGATGGAGCAGTGACACCAGCATTCATCGGCAACCAGATAGTAACTTCTGGCTGGCAAAATCTGTCCAGAAAAAGGAGAGATTGTGATATTGCCCACATCTACTCTGGATAGCTGCTCCTTGTGGGTAGACTACAGGATCTGAATTTTTTTGTGTGGTCTACTTGTGAGTTGACCAATTGGGAGTTGAGATTTCAGTCAAACTCACAGCCATAATGCCTATAGAGACATAAGGTTCACTGAGCCTCATTTCTTAATCACTTTCATAAATTACCTAACTGGTTTTCAACTATTAAGGAAACTTTGGATCAAGTTTTATAGCATTCAGTGTGTGAGTTTCCTTAAATCCTCAGCAAAAGAATTTTGAAATAAAAATTTAAGAACTAAAAAAATTCTCTTTTTGGAATAAGATGCTACACTGGATACACAAATGAAACTGGCGAATATCTTAATTAAAAGGGATATACTAATAAAAAACAAAGAAGTGACTTGTATAACTTTCCTATGTTGGATTTACAAAAGGGACCTGTTTAAAGTTTTGAAGACTTGTGACAAGGGACGAAGAAAAAATGAAAAGAAACCAATATCTAGGACATGATTTTGGGCCAGTCATATTGTCTCAGCCTAACTCACCTCACAAGGTTGTAAGGAATAAGGAGGAGGGTGTGTTGAATATATTCACCTCCTTGAGTTATTTGTTATTACTCATACTCGAGGTAGGATAAAAATAAATATTATTTAAAAGGATTTTAAAAAATCAAGATTACAGGGTCATAAAAAGGAAGTTTGATTGTTAAAAGCAAAGAATCTAAAGTTGGTTTATTTGATCAAGATTAAAATATATATATGTTATTTCTAGTAATCTTCAATAGACTTTGGCTGACCAGGACTGAGCAAGGGTTTAATTATATTTATAGATAAGAGATATGGAAGGAAGATATAATTAGTTGTGTTTTAAGAGAAAGTGATTAAGTTACTAAAATTGTTTATACTTGTGATGAAGAAGGAAGTCATTTCTTTATATATATATTTTTTTCTTTTCTATTTCTCTATTTTTTCTCTTTTTAAATTTATTTTAGTATTTATCTTTTTAACCGTAATGTTTAATAAAATTATTTTTAAAAAATCATGAAAAATCCTAAGCATCTGGAAGGACAAAACCAGAAAGAAAAACTTAAGGCCTGAGCAGCCACTTTACTCCCAAATCCTGTAACAAAGCCAAGTTTTTCCGATTTTTCAGAACATCATTAGGTATCTCTGGAGGAATACTATTGCAGAGGGATGTGCTTTCCACACAAAGAGTCATCTGATTTTTCTACTCTGTAGACTAAAAATAACAAAAATATGATTATTAAAATCAGATTTTAAGCAAATAATGGAAGCTGTGGATCAAAATACACTGCTCACAAAAATAAAGGGAACACTTAAACAACACAATGTAACTCCAAGTTAATCACACTTCTGTGAAATCAAACTGTCCACTTAGGTAGCAACACCGATTGACAATCAATGTCACATGCTGTTGTGCAAATGGAATAGACAACAGGTGGAAAGCATAGGCGGTTAGCAAGACATCCCCAATAAAGGAGCGGTTCTTCAGGTGGTGACCACAGACCACTTCTCACTTCCTATGCTTTCTGGCTGATGGTTTGGTCACTTTTGAATGCCGGCGGTGCTTTCACTCTAGTGGTAGCATGAGATGGAGTCTACAACCCACACAAGTGGCTCAGGAAGTGCAGCTCATCCAGGATGGCACATCAATGCAAGCTGTGGCAAGAAGGTTTA